CAGTGGAAACCGAGTAAGACGGAGCATTGAAAAGAAGGCTCATAAAGACGCACTCAAACAGTCTGTTTGTGCACCGTTTCACCCACTTTCCAAGTCCTCCCTTGGCGCGGATCCCCCCTGACCCCCCCCCCCCGCAAGCGGGGGGAACCACATCCACGTCCACACAGTACGGACAAGGAAAGTGGGTGACATGGGGACGCACAAACAGTGGCTGAAAAATGGACTTCCTTCAAAAAACACTCGCGGCAAATATTTTTTTTTGGTAAAGGTGGTGGTGGTGGTCAATGTAGGTCCCGTTTATCATAATAAATGATTGTTTTGTTGTAAACATTTTTTTTCAAAATTGTTAGTGGCGTTATCAAATATATTATAATTAATTGTTACAAACTTATTCACCATTTTAGCATTTGTCACATTAATATAATTTATTAACGCATTAATTTTATGTTCATATTCTATATTTACGATTACAACGAACTTTAAATTTTAAAAACAATGATTGGATGCAAGCAAATCAATTAATCAAATATATACCAATGTGACAATCTTCGTTGTGTCATAAACAATTATTACAAAATGTGTATTTTTTTTCTTTATTCTTGGATTGGTATCAAAGCGAATTGTAAGTACATTTATTAATTTTATGTTGTTTTTGTCAAATAAAATGTATTTTTAATTTACTTGTAATATTCGTTAAAAATATGTTATAATGTCTTGTCAATTGTGTTGATTGTCTTTCATTTGATAATAATTAATTCTACATTATTCTAACTTATAAAAATATTAATAGTGGTCTCATGTGTTAATTTTTCTCTACATTAGAAAATAATTTTTGTACATCTTTCTTTTATAAAAAAATAAAAAATAAGTTGTTTTTTTCCTCTTCACCTTATAAAAAAGAAGGGTTGGGTGATTTACTGTTTTGTATAAAATGTTTGGGATAAAATGTTCAGTTTAAAAAAATTTCTTCAATAAAACATGCATTTGATTTACATAAAAAATAGAGGAGTACAAAAAAATACAATTTTTAACAATTGTTGAGACATATATTTTATTATTATAATGTTGTGTAAAAACTCGATTGTAAACAAAATAAATTATACAGTTTGTCTCTTAACTATATATGGTATTTTTTGACAATTACAATTTGAATATTTGGAAAAGCAGTCTCAAAAATCCATTTTAATTGTTTCGGGAATTTTCACGTATGACCCAATGCTTGATGTATAGACTATTAAAGCTATTTTTTTGTCCACTGGATAACTTTAAAAGACTGACTCTATTATGATTTGTGAAACATGTTAAATAAAAACACACAATCGAAAATATATCTTTTAATTAAAGTCATTCTTTAACCGTGTAACTTTGACGTGTCAGTGCACTTTGTTTATAGTAT